TCGCCGCTCCCGCCATGGGCGCCTCCGACTCCTCCTCCCCCCCCCGCCAAACTAGACAGTAAGACAAATGTTGACCAATTGGTACGGTGTCGAAATTAAAGCGCTCTTTTAAAATGGTGTCGGAGATGGGGGTGATGATAATGATGACAGGATAGAGTGCTGGTGAAAGTTCTTCCAGCAGGAGAAACCAAAGTATCACGCCAGAAGGAAAGGACATAATGGCCGGAGAGATCAGTTCATCAGTTCACTAATGAGTCCCTAATGAATCCCTTCCATTCCCTAAAAGAAGCCGCAGGCTTGAGTTTACAAGAGGAGAACCGAGCGGTTGGGGACTGGACATTTTTGGGAGGCCGCTCGATTCATGGGGTTGCCAAAAGTCGGGGGCGACTTGTCTGCACATAGCAACGTCTTAGGCTAAGGCTTAGGAAAAAGAGGTCGGTAATGCGCTCCTATACCACTACCCATAAGCAAGCTCTATTGAGTTCAGTGAGACTTACTCCCTTGCAAGTGTGCGCCGGATCGTAGCCTACCATTCCCTGCCATCCGTTCACTAAGTGCATTATGTAAACGAACGTGAAAACGCTGCTCTGTCTACCCGTGCATTTCTCTTGGAAGGGCGAGACGAGGGTGGTAAGGCTACAGTGGCCAATGGTTACGGCTAGTGTATTCCGGTAAAGGCGAGTGTAGGATTGATTTCGTGGTGTTTCAGAGGAACGGGCAAGAACTTGTGAGTGTCTGACGTATGCTGGGGAGGGATACGCCGTCTTGCAGGGGGCTGCTTCGCCAGCGGCTCGACCCCTGTTAAAACCCGACCATCTGTGAACTCAGCTCCTGCAGACGCGGATCACACGGATTTGTAAGAAGGAAATCAACCTTCTTCATTAGAAAAAAAAATCGTGACGGAAAGAGGCACTAAAAATCGGAGTGCAGTCCGCTTGGGAGACGGTTGCCCTTTGGCTGTTTCACCACATTTTGTTAAAAAAAAAAATGTTTTAAAACTGCCGGTCATTAGCTCATTGCTGGAGCTGATAGCCTGGAGAGGTTTAATAATACACTACCAACAGCAGCACCTAATTATTATTATATATAATCTTGCATATGATGTGGATTTTGGTATACAGCAGCAATTAAGACCCAGAAGGAGACAGACTCCGGTTTCTAATCAAGCAACATATTTTTATATAGCAAATGACAATATTGGCATGCAGGAAAAAGTCACTGTTTAATCTCATGCTACTGCAAATTCAATTCCTGTAGAGGCAACTGCTAATAACTACTTCGAAGAAATGGTATATTGTTTACTGACCCTGTCGTTAACCTGCCGATGCCCCCATGGAAATCGCTGCACTTCTGTAGATTTAAGATACATAATATGACCAAACCTTGTCTGCTTTGCCCTGCAGATACCATCTGTTTATATCTAATTCTATGATACCACCAGGAGGTAAAGGGCAGGAAAGGTACTCCATCAGTTGAAGGATACAGTGGGGACCCTTTCATTTTCTAAGCATGCCTTTCCGTTTTGGATATGATGCATCTGTTGTGGAAGCTGTACCACTAGTCACTGCAGAAAACAGGTCACTCCAGATACACACATGCCATGCTATATTGAGATCAAGCTATGCCAGCACTTGGTGAATTCCAGATTGTCACAGTATCATTCAGCTGGGAGGGTCATCTACTCAGAACTGAGGCATCCCTGGCAGCTGGCTATCCTACCTGTGTTTCAAAACATCTTGTGAAAGAGAGCCCACCATCTTCCAAGTTTGTCCAAATATTCCACTGTCAAACAACTTGGGCTGTCAGAAAGTTATTTCTAGTGTTTAGTCCAGTTTTCCTTCTGCTGACAAAGATCAATTCCTACCATTGCCATTTTTATAATTTCCCAAATAAAGTTTCCAAAACCTCATGCAAGGGTTGTACAGATGCCACTTCAGCCACACAGACTGGACCCTGATTTATGCTCCTTTGACATTTGGTAGCATCAGCTATGATATATGGCCATGTTTTGGTTCTCATCAATGCTGCCAACAGTAATACTGATTAATCTTCATTTGGCGTGGACAGAATGAAAACAAGTGGTTACTAATGGGTTGTGAATGTGTATACATGTGCATGTGTTTAGGAATCTATAGCTGTTTTGGATATAAATATTCGTGGTCCAAATGGACTTCAAGAGAAATAGTTTGGTGCAGTAATCAACCATGGATGTAAGGGATCTGATGCACCCTTGGAGCAACGTCATTTAGAAAGCTTTTCCTTCCATTTCAAGGGCCATAGCACAGCTCTCCTGCTGAAATACACAAAGGTGCCGCATGGCTGCATAAACTGGATTGTACACAGAGAACAGGAATGACAAAGAATTCTTTTCTTGAAATGGAAGGGTTTGTAACTCTCTGAGCTGTTCTGAACTACAACTGAGCCTCTCTCTCTCCCTTTAAATTTTGCCATGGCCCACAGTGGCTTGACGCCATTACAGCTGAGGGCTGCTTCTGAGCTTTTCTCTCACTGTATATTTGAATTTGGGGAAAGGTCAGTTTTGGTACCATTGGAGCAAAGCTTGAAAGTTGCTTGTTATAAGTATTATAGTTACCTAACTAGCCTCATTTGCAATCAACATTGCAATATGTAGTTATAAAACAACAGTAAAAGTAATGTAACAGGTATTGACAATGTTACTGTTTATTTGTAGTTAGTAACATTTTCTAGTTATCTTTAAATTTTATTGTTAAATACTAATTTAAGGCATTTTGACAGGATTTTTTCATGTTTTATACACTCCTCTTATCAAATATGAGCAGTATTATTTTGTTTTGATGTTGCAAAGTACAATATCAAAATTGGCCATTAGAGAGAAACAGAGGGCATTTCATTTTATTTTTCTAACCTATCTGTAATGACAACACACCATGTTAATAGTATGTATTGCAATGGACTACCTGCATGACTGAAGTCCTGATCAGGACCAACTAGCTACTGAGAAGTAATGAAGAACACAACAAACTGGTTGTTGTGGGTTTTTCGGGCTCTTTGGCCATATTCTGAAGGTTGCTCTTCCTAACGTTTCACCAGTCTCTGTGGCCGGCATCTTCAGGGGACAGCACTCTGTGCTCTGGTGCAGTTTATTTGGGAGTTGAGTATTTATGGCTGTGAGATTAGCTTTTGTCCTCTTCAGGAGATGGGTGATTATGGTGATCAGTGTGTTTTTGTTGTGGGTGTATTGTTGTGATAAGGAGAGATTATCTGTCACTGTGATTGATGGGTGTCATTTGCTGGTCTTTTGTGTGTAGTGATCCCTGGTCCTTGTATCTGGGTAGAGTTCGTTGACCTTTTGCACGCTGTATTTTTCAGAGCTGGGAGCCAAGTTTTGTTGAGTTTCAAACTTTCTTCTTTTTTGTTGAAGTTCTGCTGATGTTTGTGGATTTCAATGGCTTCCCTGTGCAGTCTAATGTAATGATTGCTGGTGTTGTCCTGTATTTCAGTATTTTGAAATAGAATTTCATATCCAGCTTGTTTTAGGGCATGTTCAGCTACTGCCAATTTTTCTGGTCTGTTTTTATTTTCCTTAAAAATAAGTTTGGAGTTCTGATTCTGACTAATTTACCAAAATCGTTGTTTACAACAAAATATTTTGTGAATGCTTGAATTGTTAATAAGAATTCAGAACACCAACACTCACCCTTCGTAGCAGAAGCAAACCAAGAAACAAAGGTTGGGTCCTGCAGCTGAATTCCCTGGATGCAAGTGATCCATGCACATTCATTATTTAATTTCATTTGCTTTATGTCTGTCATTCATTACTCTCAAAAAGGGAACCAAGATGGTGGCCTCCAGAGACACTTCCTCCAAAATTTAATGGATACCTCTCCCATGTTGCACAACAGCCAATTGGAGTTGTCATTTTCTGATGCTCTAAGTAACATTTTCAGGGGGATGAAGGATCTTCTTTGGCCATATTCTGAAGGTTGCTCTTCCTAACGTTTCACCAGTCTCTGTGGCCGGCATCTTCAGGGGACAGCACTCTGTGCTCTGGTGCAGTTTATTTGGGAGTTGAGTATTTATGGCTGTGAGATTAGCTTTTGTCCTCTTCAGGAGATGGGTGATTATGGTGATCAGTGTGTTTTTGTTGTGGGTGTATTGTTGTGATAAGGAGAGATTATCTGTCACTGTGATTGATGGGTGTCATTTGCTGGTCTTTTGTGTGTAGTGATCCCTGGTCCTTGTATCTGGGTAGAGTTCGTTGACCTTTT